CGATTATAAATGTAATTAAAATATGCGGTATCAGTAATAAGTTGATTTGCGACGCGGTATTTGGGTATTTGCCATTTTTTCGCACGGTATTGTGGTATTGGGTATCCCCCAATGTCCCCCTCTTTCTACCATCTCGGACGCCTTGAAGCGATTCATACCCCCGCAATGGGGAAATTTATATTATAATTAGATAAAGCTTTCGTTTCAACTGCCACCGCTTCCGTTAAAGTTGAATTTCACTGCTTCCAAGAGAAGCTGCGAAATATTTTCTGTTTTGAGAAGCGCCTCTGTGATTAGTTCCTTTTAGACAGATAATTATAGTTAGCGTTTCAGTTCAGGATAACACCTGGTGTAGACAAGAACGTTTCTAAATATATGACAAGTTAGGCCGTATTACTCCTCGATAAAGTGGTGTCAAGACCTGCGAACGTCGGTAAGCAACAATTTATTTTGTTATTATGTTAAATTGTAGTTGTGATTCAAAGCGAAACTTATCGCTAGTTTTTTTACTTTTCTTGGTTCTTTTAATTGCCACGTGTTCGTTGCCCAAACGTTGATATTCTTAAAGATTTGATGGCATGATACTTAGGTAATTTCTTCACGTAATGATTTTAGTTGACCACTTCGATAAAGGAACGCCTCAGAATGGAAAAGGAATAAAGAAATAAAAGATCCTATATTGGTTTGGGGTTTATCGCACGTACGAGTATCAACCCGGATATCGAGTGCTAATTCTAACTTGGAAGGAAAAATTTGCATCAACTTTCTGACCAGTTTCAGGTTTCGAGTTACAACGTTCGGGGAGAAAGAGTTAGGATATAACAAAAATTAAATTCGCAAAAAAATCCCTCTCTCCCTCGAAGGGTTATGAAAGCTCAAATCTTAAACAAAATAGTTAGCAAAGGCCTACCCGAAACCCCCAATTGCACAGATTATAGGTTGTAACATGCTTCCCTTCAACATCCATGTACATTCATCAACCATTTTTGATAAGTTGCGCATTACTACAGGAAAGGAAAAGCGTGCAATGACGGAGTGAAAAATTCATAAAGCTGGCTGAACTTTATTGTGAGTGAGGGCACCAACAAAGTAGAGAAACAAACACAAAATGATATACCATTTTGTAAAAGAACGATCGGTATACAACACATTGACTGCTTCATTGCACGGGATAAACTGATGGAAACAGCTAACTTTGGACTCGCTAGTTTAATAGTTACTTTCGTTGTTTGTACAAGGAAAATTTTCAGCAATCCATCAGAGACAATCCTTGGCCTTCCAAATGCTTCAATCGAAATTTGACAATCTCAGTTACACTGAACTCCTGTCATAAACCCAAACTTTTGACACTGGTTAACTCGTTGCTATTTTGCCACTAATTGTTTCAAAATCAACTTTATACATGAATAGAGACTCGGTGCTTTATGCAGTGAACAATTTAAGAATCATGTCAATGACCTCTGCTTAGCGAACCAGACTGAAATATTAGCTTACGTTGGCAAAAAAAATTGAATGTCAGCTTTTTCGGCGTTACGTTACTGGATTGTGAATATAACAAATATGTGGTTGTGCTGAAATGACCGTGTTCCACAAACGTGGACCGTCCTTAAAATTGAGCAATGTGCTCAAGTTGGAACATGGAGTATATTACTGAAAAGAATTTGCTTTCGCCGCTCCCATCATAATCGTGAAGCCATTTCTTAGCAAAGTATACAAAGAAGTCCAGCTGATTCACTCCAACAACAACAACAACAACAATCTTTAAGTATGTAATCTTATTCTTATTCCAGTATGTAATCTTATTCTTTTAATGGTTTTATGAGCAATTTGAATGGACTTGCTAAAGTAAACTTGGAATTTATGTTTGTAAGTGCCCCTATAGCACGAGTTTCTGTTCATTGTTTGATTTGTTAAATAATCTTTTGAGTCGCACTAGGTGGCTCGTCACGCGCTCTTAAGTGTAATTCAATTTATTAAAAACTGGATCACTGGATAATGGTCAGCCTCGTTTCCATGGGCCACAGTCATTATGGTATATGAGCCGATATACCATAATCTACAAATATGGTAAGCGTGCGCGTCAGCTTAAAATCAAAAGAGAGCTAAAAAATCCGGTTTCTTCTCACAAAATAATAATTTCTTGGTGGCGTTTTTATCAAAACAATTATTCCAATCGCGCTTGTTGGATATGAGATGATTATAGCCAACTCGGCGATACGCGCCTCGTTGGCGAACTATCATCTCATATCCAACGCGCGCTCGTGGAATAATTGTTAAATATTTGATAAAAGGCCCTTTGATCAGTTTTTCAGTAAGCACTGGTTCACGTAAGCAAAGAAATCAGTAAAGGAAAGGAAGGATAGGTTCAATTGATTTCAACTCTCGCCAGATCCGGCAATAATGTAAGTTTTTGATGTACCTGAACCATTTTGCGTGCCCCTAATTTCTTAAATCAATGTTTAGTTTCACGGTATAATACAATAATAAAGAAGGAGGTGTTCCCAAAGAAGTCTGGTGCGTACGTTGTATTTAACAGTAGATTTTGTGCGATCCAGCTAGCGGTGGACAAGCGCCGCTATAGTGTTGATTGATAAGCTACCAACTTTTTTGTTTTTGCGTTGCGAATTCATGACCTCCAACGACATAGAACAACAAAAAGACAAGAACAACTTTAACATACCCTCTTGATAGTGCTCTCCCAGTCGTCTCCTAAACTTTCTAAGCGTTGCAGCGAGTAAGAGTTGTTTTAAACTGCTGTACTTGCAACTATTATTTGCTTACTCAGCAGAAGCTAGCGCTCACATTTTCCGCGTTTCAAATAACGGGCGTGAAGAAATGTTTTGACATGCCTTTCGTCTGTTGTAATAGCACAGGCGTCCCAAGCTTACCTCTCGAGGAGAAACGAAAGATTATTTCTTGAAAGCGTCACGCGTTGTGTGACGCGGTGTTAAGTTACGCGAGCGACGGTTGAGAATTTGAATGCGTTATAAGGAATAGTATGGGAAACAAAATATGGTCCATTTACAACCCTAAACATTCCGAAATATGAACATTTTACACTTAAGATTGATAAAATGACTCCCTTCTTGTGTTTCCGTTGTGGTTTTTGCCGTTTTCCGCCGTTTTGGGTTTGCTTTGCCATCACTTTTTTTCCT